GTCTCTCTATCCAGCGAAACGTTTGTGGACCGCCGGCGTTGAGATATCAAGTCTGACAAAATCCAGCCCATTGATGTAGGATGTGGTCGGATTATGAGAGGTAAAATTGATGCAACAATGGAAACATGGCTGGAAGAGGAGAACAATCTCGATAAATGGCAGGATAGACTTTCAGCAAAGGATAGAAGAAGACGGATTGCACCCACGATTCGCTTTCCTCAGTCCGTTTGGATTAAACGAGGGTACTCTTATTTGTCTGCTCCGGATCTTCATTCTGACATTGACATAACGATTTTCATGGATGTGCAATCTAACCCGGATGTGTCTCTCGATGATGACTCAACCGTCTCAAAGGTTTGCAAGATTACCCTGCTATAGCAGCTAGTTTACAGAGGGGATAATGATGTTGTTTGTGTTTGTGAGAACTGGCTCAATGACTCTGTCATGGACTGTGAGCTGCTTTATGGCTACTCTTTCTATCGAAGGGGTAGAGAAGGACGCCTCCGCGGCGGTTTGTTGTTCGCTATTAAAACTGATCTACAGCCTTTAAAATTGAAGCTGTCTAAGTCTGTTCGCGCTACACTTACGATTTCAAACGCGGGAATTTTCAAGATATTTGCAGTCTCCTGTCACAAACCCCTTTGGAAATTGCACTTTCTGGAGGCTTTGACGAGAGCTGAGCTTCATGAAAGGATTTGTTTTTGTCAGCTGTAGACCAATGTACACCTACTAAGTCTGTAAAAGATACTAACTCGCCTCCCTGGATAGACAGTGAAGTTCGCCATCACATTCCTAACAAATATGGGGTTCTGAGGAAATATCGCCTAAATAAGTCCGACGATAACAATCTGAAACTGCGCTCCTTGAGTCAACATGTTAAGTACCTGGTTGAAAGAAAACATCGCCTTTATTTGGAGAAAATTGAAGGCGCATTTTCTGAGAATCCAAAATTCTTTTGGAGTTATCATAAAGCCGTTCTGCACCACCGAGCCAAACCAAATTCAGTGATAACCTATAATGGCATAGAGGCTACGACCCCAGCTGAAAAGTGGATCTTTCAAATTCTTATTTTTCATCCGTCTTTACTCCTCCGAGTCCCGTTGTAAACAACGATATTTCCCCTCTTTCAGTGCACCAGTTATGCAAATAACGAAGTTGCAAATTGTTTAGCCACTTTGGTTACCTCTAAAGCGTGCGGCTCCGATAACACTCCTCCAGCCTTCTAAAAGAATGCAGCAATCAAACTGCACCTTGTCTTTGTTCACTTTTCAATCTCTCCTTACGAACTGCTCGCATACCGTCTGAATGGAAATAAGCCAATGTCACACCGGTACGTAAAAAGAACTCTATGAAACCGGCTGAAAATTATAGGCCTATTTCCTTGTTATGTATTCAAAGCAAAGTCCTGGGACGCTGTGTCTGTATTAAACTTTACGATCATGTTAAACAATACATCAGGCACCTCCAGCATGGCTTTTTGCGAAATTGCTCCTGCGTCACACAGCTGTTATCTGTTCTTAATACCACTGGTCATAATCTGGACAAAAATATTTAAACAGATGTTATCTACCTGGACTTTGCCAGCTTTCGATTCCGTCAATCACTCAGTTTTGCTTCAAAAGCTCAAACGATATGGTGTGGAAGGCGACACGCTTTCCTGGTTTACAGATTACCTAAGTTGAAGATCTCAAAGGGTCCTTTTTGATGGTGTTGCCTCGCAGTGGGTCCCAGTTGCATCGGGAGTTCCTCAGGGCAGCCTACTTGGCTCATTTCTATTTTTTTTTATTAATGATCTGCCAGGTGTTCTACCTGAAGGTACTCAATCTGCTCTCTACGCGGACGACACCAAAGTCTTCAGTTCCATCTCGTCTATAGCAGATTGTGAACGACAACAACAAACTCTGAAAAACCTGAATTCCTGGAGTCACGACAATAACATACGATTCAATGCCTCTAAATTCAAAGTTCTAACTATAAGGGGCAAGAAAAAGCCTTTACATCAAGACTTTTTCTAGGCCCTGAAAAAGTACTGCACGTGCGTGAGGAGAGGATCTGGCTGTAGTTATCTCGGACAAACTTACCTGGGACTGACATGTACACTTGATTACAGCAAAAGAAAACAAAAGTTTAAGTCTGCTAAAGAGATCATGTCCCTTGTTAACTAAAGTGGCAGTAAGGTCCTTGTATTCAGCGATTGTGAGGCCTCACCTTTGTTAAGGAACTGAATGCTGACATTTTGCTCTCTCAGTTTGCCTGTAGGATTGGGAACCTTGGAAAGAGGGAGGGGGGCTGGTGCATTATGAATTTGCTTGACTTTTGCTGCGTTTTTAGTTGTTTATTACCAGAACTGCTACCCCTCCCCCCCTCTTCCCCGATGTAATACTATTGCCTTGATTAGGAACAATTTTTCAGGCTGGTTTTGCAGAAAACAAAATCAGCCTGAACCACTAAAACACGTGTTCTTTTAAGCAAAGCCAAAAGTAATCGTTACAATTTCTTACTAGTATCATAACCTTTATTCTTTTGTGTATGTGTTATACGAAGGATTTACAGCTGTTTTTACAAATCTTGGTAAGAGTGGAACAAAGGGTCCAGACTTAGTTGGCAGTCACTACACAGGTCAGGATCATGACGGACAAGTTACAGTGTCCAACGGTACTCAACTGTGGACTGTGCCACACACTGGTGAATACAGAATAGAAACAATAGGAGCCTCAGGGGGGTACGGAAAAGACACTGTTATCAAGAACAGAGGGAGAGGGGCTCGGATGATTGGAAACTTTATGTTGACCAAAGATGAGATCATTCGTATACTTGTTGGTCAAAGAGGGGAAAGATCGAATTCTTACAAAAATGCTGCCGGAGGCGGAGGAGGTACATTTGTAGTAAGAGGAGACAACAAGCCTTTGATCATAGCTGGAGGTGGAGGAGGAGTTGCTAACATGACAGAACAACATTCAGGATGTGATGCGTCCATAAACACAACAGGGAATGCAGGGCATAACTCGCCATTCCTGTCAGGAGGAAGTAACGGAAATGGAGGACAAACTGATAAACCGCACTCTGGTAGGTGAAGAATTTCCTATTTACAACTGCTGAATTTTTTTTTTGCATCCATCAGTATTTCGAACAAAGAGGTGATACTGGTCGCTCAAATTTGAATTTTTCTCAGAATTACTAAGAGCAATGATCTTTTCAGTAGCTAATGTAAACTTTAAATCGCTTGATTGTAGGCGGTGGTGGCGGCGGCTTTTACAGTAATGGAGAAGACTCAGAGAATTCTGGTGGAGGGGGAAAGGGAGGTAAAGGATTTCTGGCCGGAGGAGAGGGGGGAGCATATCGGGGTGGTTTCGGAGGTGGGGGTGGTTCTCGTTCTAGAGGTGAGATACCTGGAGGCGGTGGAGGGTACTCCGGGGGAAGTGGAGGTGCGAATAAAGATCTTTCCTGTGGGGGAGGGGGAGGTTCTTTCAACAACGGAACAAATCAGCAAAATGAATGTTGTTATAATACTGCTGGACATGGTAAAGTGATCATTACATTTCTTCACTGAAATGCATGGCAGCACTTTCCCTAGAGTGTAGTGGTAATTCTGTTTTGAAGCGCTTATTGATATTGGTTTTTAAACTCAATTGCTTTTAATTTTTTTGGGTCATTATTTAGATTTTACTATTAAGCCGTGTTACTGTAAGACAAACAGCGCAACATGTGGTTCTAGAGCCGTTTATATTTGAGGTTAGAATTAAAATTCACTAACAACATTTGTTAGAATAAGTGAGTTTGTGAATTTTTACCGGCCTAACCTACTCCCCCGGGGGGGAGGGATGGAGTAGGGGAGGGGGAAGGGGGAAGGGGACGGGGGAAGGAATGGGGAGAATTAAACATGGCGCATATGTTCTCAGTTGTATGATGCATGAATATTTAGGTGATAGAAAACAATGAACAACAAATTCTCCCACCTCTTTATTCAATCAGATTCCTACGCGTTAAAAGCATACAATATTAAGGTGAGGCAAGATAATAGTTTATAATCTCCGGGGAGGACAATGTTAGCTACAAAATACTTTGGCCTATAGAATAAAGAGGATACAAATGCCAGGACTGTTTAGACTTTAAATAGCGGGCATGGTGGGAAGTTAGTGATAATTGGTCAAATAATAACATATGGGTAATGAAGACTAAGTAATAATTTTGTAGAGAAACAGTTGTGAAGTCAGCTCTTCATATTCTTGTGCATTTTATGTCAATGAATACGCATTTAACAATGTAAAGGTATACAGTCAATCTTTTTTTCTCGATCGGCTCAAAACCAAAATTGATTTTCAGTAATGATACAGTCAGTGTGACCCGGCTTCTTTAATTTTTTTGCCCGTTCACCTT